GAGTTTAGGTCAGGGTAACAGGGGGTTTTGCGGCATTGGAATACACTAGAAAGAATTAGGGACTTCATGGATAGTATGAAATATGAGGATATTCTCCAGAAGGACATTGTAGTAAGACTCCAGTGAATTAAATTTGCCTGTAGTGGGAATATGCAAAAATGGCTGGGACAAAATTCCTCTGACAAATATAAATCCATTTAGTACGATGCATTATACATTAGTGCATATTCGGTCAAAGTGGTACAGTGGATTTCATATCCTGAGAGGAAATAACCTCACTATTCTACAAATACTGTAAAAGGCACTTAGTATTTTGGGTTAAAAACCTGTGCTTTACATTTTCAGATTATTCTGATGTCAGAGGATATAAATTATAATTATTGGCATTATTATTCAGAGGTGCTGTATCTAGTGACTTTTACATCTGAGTCTCGCTTCCTTCATGTCTACCACGTTGACTTGCTGGTATGTGACAAAGGAAATCTTGTATCAGTCCTGACTGGCTAGTTTAGAACAGTTTTCAGGAATAAGAAAACTGGCTCAGTAAATCAGATACTTGCATGTCTTTAAAGCATTTATTTTAGTGTTTCCTCTAAGATTTCATTCTCTAACAGCTTTGAAGAAAGCATATAGATTTCAGCATGGTATTATGATAAATCTTCTCAAGGAGGGGCAAGCATTAACTTTTGTGTCGGTTCTTTTTCATCTTAATCCAACCTTGGTTAATAATCAGAAAATTCTACATAGTGGGTAAGAAGATGTAATTAACCCTTTGACCCCAGAATCTTAATTGGCGCCTGTTGAAAACAGTGGGGCAGTTAAAAAAAAATAAATTAAAAAGTAGCCTGTGGTGATTGAAACAGCATAAGACATAATGGTTTTCTGAAATCAAAAGTACTAGGGAACTTCAACTTTAATCATATTTTGCATAAAACCAGTTAAGTGTAGGTTTAAACAAGAAGTTGCCAGTCTTCCTTAAATTGGATTGTGCTCAAAATTGGCATTTGGGGTCACCCTGACCCTTCTTCAGCAGCCGCACTAGATGGGATAGGATGGAGTTTATGACAGTCAACTTCATTTATAAAAATAAAAAAGAAATTAACTCAAGAATATTTTCCTAACAGAAGACACTCTACCTTTATATTCATGGCCCCTGCTTCAATGAAAATGGGATGTGTTATGAAAAAGCAGTTACCTTTGCAGTCCCTATTTCTATATTATAGTTGATGGTAACTGTGGAACATCTGAAACACAAATCCTATCTGCCTTTGAACTACAGTGAAACTGTTCAGAAATTCTGGCTGGAAATTACACTGTGGCGCTCATTTTAAAAGAGAGATTTGAAAGCTGACTAAATCCAGTACCCTTCTCGCATTTATTGTGTCCTTAGTTATATATAGGTAACATGAATAACACTTCCAGAGATTTCTCATTAAAACAAAATTGTTTGTAAATAGGTGGTGTACAATGGTATCACATACTCTTCTTCAGTATATAGCATAACCTCTGTTATGTTGTCTGCTACCCTCTCTGAAGTCTGCTGCTCTCTTGGCATGCACAGAGGACATACGCTTTATGAAAAATTGAAAAATTTCAACACGCATTACTTAAATAATAAATATTCATAAATAATACCTATGAATAACGAATGAGACAGTCCTTCAGAACTACTATTTGACCTGTATAAGAAACAACAACATTGTCACAAAAGTGGTCCATCTCAGCCCTTTCATCCTGGTGGGAGGAACTGCCTTGCATTGCAAGGTGGCTATTTCTCCCACTATTTTTATTGTCATTTTTCTTAGCTATTAGGACTTGAGCTTAGTACCTGGCGCCTTTGTTCTAATGTCTTTCTTTGTATTTTGGGCATGGAAGTAATTAGTTGTTCCATTAGCTGTTAATCAGTGGCTTTTTCAAAATACAATTAAATACACTGTCTGATTTTGCTCTATTGACCAAAGTGCTGGATTCAGTCAGTATTTGTACCCAAGCATAACTTCAGCGAGGTGGGAAAGGAAACGGAGAAGGACTGACCACGACTTAGTAGTCTCGGTTGGCATAATGAACTAATTTTATGGCAGGGGAAGTGACTAATCACGCAAGAAGCCAAAGTAGTTGTGGGTATGCTGCATTGGCCCTGCCAGTCCATCGGTGGTGCCTCCTTAGTACCTCCCCTGTAAAACTAGGAGGCAAAAGTAAGGAATAGTCTTCCAGAAAGAAAGCGAAGAAAAGGGTAAAGAATTAAAACTATTTAACTGAAAGGAGAGAATCAGAGCCAATGGCACGGAAAAGTAGCAAGTGCTTAAAATGTCTAACACTTCTCACTTTAACACTCTTCCTTCCCAGCTGCTGATGACTTTCCAAACTTTAGCCATGAAGGTTGAAATTTCTTTCTACAGTTGTGCCAACCAGAGATAGTTTTATTTATTTATATTTTTCCAGCAAAACTGGATTCAGCCAATTCCAAAACAACACTGAGGAAAACAGTACTGATTAAGCAGAAATAAAAGCTTTCTTCAAACTTTTCTTTCATTAAGAAGACTGAATTCCTGAATAAGATGATGCATAGAAAAGAAGCAGGAAAGCCATCAGTGACTCAGAGAATTATTTTTTATTGTTCTTACAAAACTCTATCCAGATATGCCAGATAATTACACACTAATGCAGTGGACTAAACAGACCAGATCACAAATGTGCTCCAACTGTATGTAACTCTCTTGACTAAAAGAGCAAGGGGACCACACTAAAAGCTTGGATATGTTATAAACTGAGAAAAGGAAAGTTGTTTTTATATGATATACACAAATAACCTGTGAAACTTCTTTCCTGAAGGTATCATTGAGCCAAGAACATAACAGGATTAAAAAAAAAAAAAAAGTCTTGAGCACAACAGTTATAAAAAGTAATTATAAGGAATATCAGATATCATGGTCAAGCCAACTAGTAACAACCTTAGCTTAGAAAGAAACTTCTAGTAGGCTTGTCATTACCTACATAACCATTATGGATATTTCAAACACTGTTCTGAAGCATCTAGGTACACGCTGTCAGACCCAGGAAAACTGACCACATCAGATAGGCCATTAGTCTGATTCAGTATGGCAATTTATTGTTGCTTGTGGAGAATGGCATTCTAGCAAGAACATATATAGATGGCCAGGCAATCAGGATGACGGTTCTCAGTTTTATTTCTAACAGAGGATTAAACCAATTTCCTCAAAGGAACATGGGATAGAGCATCAGGAAAACTTAAACCAAGACCTTTAAAGGTTTACTCTTCTGATCTTTCTGTGACGGGGAAAGTGGATAGTAGCAAAAGAAATGATACCTAGTGGGGGAGATCAAATGTGTAAAGGTTTTTATTGTCCTTGTATGGATCTAAGTTTGAACTTCACTGTTCGATATTTTCCACCTGTTATTGATGTTAAAATTCAAGGAACTGATGTTAATCATTTCAAAAGAAATTATGATGATTTATAAGAGGCCATAAATGGCTTGCATAATATAAATGTTTTTACATGAAGGAAATCTATGCAGATTTACATTTTTATTAATTCATAAATATAAATTAGAGTCTTTCTTTAATGCAGTGTCTTTAGTGAGGGTTTGTTTTCCAATATGTGGTTTATTCTTTTTAGAAAACACAGATTTTTGAACTAATTCCACCACCTACTACATCAGAGAGGGGTGAACACTTGCCAAAGACAGCTTCTGACCAGCAGCGTGTTAAAAATTAATCAAGAAGCAGAATAAAAAAATTAAAAACCCTCAGAAATCACTGTTCTGTATTTGAAAAGGAATGAAATGATTACATGACTTTATCATCATATATCTCCATCAAATTTGTGTGCATCTCTTATTTTTTCGTCCAAAACCAGGTTAATCTCTCAAATGCTACAGTTATATTTTTACTTTACACATACCTTTATCCCAAGGAGATATTTGGGATGGGACTTTCTGGGACTGTTTCTTGTTCATCCCAACGTTTGGAGTGTTTCTGATTTTCTGAGTTGTTTCAGCATTTCTAATTTCTGGAATTTTGTGATTTTACTTTTGCAATAGTGAATGCTTGTTTGCCAATAATCAGCCTCATAAAAAGCATAAAAGTAAAGACAAATATAATGTATGAAAGACAGTTTCTTCCTAGTGAATATTTGCTCTTATTCCTAGAGGTATATTTCTGTCTTCATGTGCAGTGATTTACTCCGTGTGTCAGTTTAGAATATAGTCCTTTGTTTATTAATTGCACTCATGTTTCAAAAGGTATGCATTAATCTGTGTAGTCATATTTTGATTTTTGATTTTTGCAGTGGAAACTTGAACCTGTCAAAGTAAAATCTGATCTAGAGTTTTACACCAAAGGGATGAAATTCATAACATTTCTATAGACCTAAGCTGTAAACATATTTGACAGTAATCTGCTGATTGGCTTTGTTTGTTGTCTCACAAAAGGAAAATGGTGTGTGTGTGTATGTGCATGCGCGCGCGCGCGTGTGTGTGTGTAATCCTCAATTAATTAACAAATTATTGAGGTCCATAGTGGTTTGAGTGATAGTGGGATTTTATTTTCTCTTCTTCAGTTTTTGGAAGTGGAAATTCTCGGCTTTGATTCTGGGGGATGGGGGGGGAATCTTCTTACATAGCATTTGATTGGAAGGTTACTTGTTTTCCTTATTTATTTCTTCCTGTAAAAAATTGAACAATATTTTATTTTTCTGTATTTCTTCTGTCATTAAAATGAGATAAATTTTATACAGTATATGACAGATGTAAGCATGACAATAAGTCCTTGAACTTTGGAATATACTCATATGCTGTTTGTTAATATGTAGACAGAATATAAAGAAATTGTCTTAAGGATTCAGATTAAAAACACTCTCACAGGAATCAGAACATTTTCCTCAATTTGTTCTGTGATGCCTTTGTTTGAATCTATTTCTATCTGGAATTTAGATTTTTATTAATCTATTCACTTTTTTTTTTCCCCCCTTACTCTGTAGTCCCTGGATGGATTTGTATTTGCACTAAATCAAGAAGGAAAATTTTTGTACATTTCAGAAACTGTCTCCATCTATTTAGGCCTGTCCCAAGTAAGTACATGCTTTTGATTCTAGAACATAATTGTGTATGATGCGTTCTTATGTTTATCATTCTTAAAGAAATAATAATTTGGTTTCTGTATTTTGTGTGGATTATTGAATTAGTTATTTAAAGTTGCATCTGGTTCATCCTGAGAAGTAATTGAAAAACGTATCTACCAGTATTGGACGTTGAGATAAGACAAACTTGTACCTGAAAACTTTTTGCCTTGAAGGATCATTATTAATTTATTGAGAACAAATGAAGTTTCTTTTCTCAGTTGTTTTGAACTTTAAACCTCTGTACCTGATAGGAAAGGGACACACTAATAGTACTTCCCTTGTGTCCTATTACTGGATGTTTATGGAGTACCCTGCATTATCCAGGGAGCTGACACGATGACAGGGAGTCATTTGGAGTCAAGAAATGCTGAAAGAGACCATTAAAATGTCTTGCAGGGAGGGTTCCAACAAGGACACATTTTGCCGCACTCACAAATGCTCACTAATATGAAAAGACAAATTTATAAAATACAATAGTTTGATTTTTTTTTCATTTAATTGCTGACAAATGTTTTTCAAAGATTAAAAGGTAGGACAAAAGTGGGGGGAAAGTTGCTTGTTGATGCTTATTCCTAATCCTGCAGCATTCAGAAATATTTAGGAAGGATAGCTTCTTTCTGCATGTACTTAGAAATGCAACAGAAAGATTTTGCATGATGATTTTCAGAGTAGGATAATCTACTTCTATTGCAGTCACCCTGAGGAGAAAAAGAAAAACTGAGATAATATTTACTTCAGCTCCTTTAAAATGGGACCCATACTACTATGAGGAGACAACTATTAACACTGGCAACTGTCAGTTTTGCTGTACCCCAACAATGAAATGGGAAATTTTAACATTTAGTGCATAAAAAAGACTAATTTTAAATATTATCTGGTGAGAATCTGAATAGAGGTTCATTAACTTCTCAAAGAACATGCAAGCAATTGGCTGTAATAAGTTCAGTAATTGTTATTTTGTGCTGGCTTTAGCAAACCAAATGATAGAAATGGAAACAGAGCTGTTTCTAACTCATATCAGTATTCTTGTCTCTCATTAAAGTCCCTCGTTTTGTAATAGACTTTAATCCCTGCCTTAATCTGTTTGGGAGTTAGTATCAAGAATCTCAAATTTTGAAATTGGTGCGCCACCATGTTGCTAATACAGTAAAGAATCGGAACTTTAATGTTTATTATTGTCTTATGCTCATATTAATCTGTTTTATGCATAGTATCCAACGAAGTTTAATAAGCCAGTAAAGAAGAAGGATGGATAATTAGTTTAAGCAGGTAAATGCTAATTAGGAAACTCCTGAAAGGCATCCATTATACACTAGCTTAAAACAAATTTTACAGCCCTGGTTAGTGGTGTAATCCAAATTCTGTCAAGGCAACTGCATTTTCTGTAATTGAGATGTGTATGTTTGCTTTGCATAACAGATGGCTCTGTATGCTTAGACTGATAGCTAGGAAAATAATAATTGCATTATTCTGGCCAAAAGAATATTAGCTCTTGGGTTTTGGCCATTTCAGTCAGTCCTCCTGCCAGCACAGCATATGCACATATATGGATTGGATTTTCAAGGAAATTGATGCATCTGGAATAGTGTGGCCATCTGAAATATCATCTGTTCAAGAAAAATTTGGCTTTAACCCTATGCTAGTCTCTTGTTAAAAACATTTTCTGCCACTGTCTTTTTAACTATAGGAGCTGGTAAATCTTTCCTTACTCTGAACTTACATCATGTTGTTAAGACTTCACACTTCATCTGGATCCCCATATACATTTCAAGCAAGGGTTCAGATAAATAAAGCAATTGTCTGCATGTTAGAGTGTTTGATATATCACGACAAATGCTTCCTTGTGTTCACTTCTGAAAGTATTGATGGAAAAACTACCAAAAATTCAGAACCCGGACTGTGGATTTTAATACAATAATAGATGAAATCTGCTGAGATCTACTAAAATATCTGTGATTTTCGCTGTTCTTCTCTTCTGTCTTTATGGAGACATTTTGTATTTCTCAGACCTACTGTATTTATATTTTTAATATATTGTTCTCTTGGTATAATATTATATAGCTAGGTCTCTTAATAATGACAAAAGAAATGCTGTAGCTACTTGTTACTAAATCACTATTCAAAGGTTATTTGTTACAAAAAATATTAGCAATATCCATAAAACCATTTCTCAAACTATACATGGAAATGCTACTGTTTGCACTACAACAATCTTAAAATAGTCATAAATTCTGAATTTCTGGAATGGTGCTATGTGATACATGTGGTGTTGCATTTCTTGCACTGCAGGTAAACATTGATAGGTCCCTACCCTGATACTCCCCAACTATACATTTATATAGAACCTCTAGGTAATTTTGCACTTCAGAAAGTCTGGATGTACATTATAAGCGTTTTTATTTGAAACATCTTCAAGTGCTGACTTTGGAGTCTTACTTTCTAGTCAAATGACTTCTTAGAGACTTCATCCTTGTTCAGTTGTGGGTTTTTTTTTTTCTTTTTTAACTAGTATGCATGGAAATAATGTACAATATATTTTGTACTTGCAAAGCAAAATCTCATGTCTCAGCTAAAGGAAGATAGTCCTTGTACTGAATCTCAGTAGGTGAAAACAGTTTTCATGGAACCCAGTTTTTCTCTTTTCTGAAAACTGAGAGTCAGTGGTACAAAACTAATGGATGCTGATGTTCTAAGATAGCTGCAGGGCTAATAGTAAAGAAATCTGATAAAGCAGTATCTTGGGAGGTAGCCTGGCAATGATGATAATAAAGTTACTCGTGGCAAAAATAACAGTATATTTGAACAGTAAACAAAAATTACAATGAATTCTCTTTTGACATTACAATGAATGTACCTTGGATGTAGACACCCATAGATATATATGTTTTGAACATTTTGTCTTCCAGCTAATGCTAACCAAGAATTTTAAGTTAGTTTGGCAGACATGGATTTTAGAGCACAGTGTGGAACTGCCATCAGAGCAGTTTCAGAGAGCAGAGATGCATTTCAAAGTAGAAGGAAAGACACAAAGTTAGCTGAAAATAATGAGCGAGAGAAAGGAGAATAAAAGCAACAGAAATGGGCCAAAATCTCCCATTTATATCCTTAGTCTGTATAAATTGTCATAGCTCAATTATGCTTGGGGCAAGCTGAAATAGTCCAACATACCTTCCAGTATTCAGTAGTTTCAGGAACTGTAGTATTTGTTGGAAGACCCAGACACACCTAGAAACATGCAATACAGCCAGGATTTCTTCCCTGGGTTGGACAACATGACCTGTGATGGTGTAGCTCACCCTTTTGACAATACATACAGCTTTTTACACTGCACCTCTGAAGTGATGTAAAAATGTTTTGTCTTCATATATATCTATTCTCTGACATTTTCAAGTCAGCAGGTAATTTTTGTTATCAAGGTAACTGACGTCTTTTTGAATACCCAGTCCCTGATTTCCTTTTAGAAATGGGATGAGATTTCAAAAGTAGATGACTAAAATGAGTCACCGTATCTGGACATAGAAAGGCACTCGAATCACTCCTTCAGGCACTTGGAAGTCAATATCAGTGCTTACCTAAGAGATTTCGATTCTTTCGCAAAGTCTCTGTGTTTGAGCCTTAAGCCAAAAATATGCTGAAACACAAATAGTAATAAATAGGGAGAAAAATCTATCCAGAACAAAGGATAGAACTGTCAGACATATGAGGTTTCAGGGTCAATAGAAAATATTATGGGCTGATAAGCTGGCTAGGGTACTTTTGCTTTCAGGAAATGAGTTCTTAATCACCTCTCACCAACATTTGTACTCAACAAGGATATTATGCATTGTTTCCCCTCTGTGAGGTTCACACCTTAAAGTAAAGTATTTCCTACCTTTGCTTCTACTTGTCCAGGACACAGACCAGGTTTGCAAAATGGCCTGTTGAAAAGAGAGCTCACTAAAAAGGAGCAGTGCCGCTGCAGGCATAATAGGAGATAATAGAGATGAAGAAGGAAAAAAAAAGAATAAATTGTTGAGGTTTTGTCCTTTTTAAAACAAAGCAGGCAAAACCAACAGGTATATTACATGTGTACTGCGTTACTAGTAGCATAACGTATCTCCTTATTTTTGGCTTTCTGTGCATTTGTTCTCCGAAATGGCAGATAAAATTATAGCTACAGCACACAAGTACAAGGTCAAATAAATGACAGTACTCAGTCTATTTGTGAAGCTATTCTGAAAAGGAACCATGGTGCCAAATGTGGTTTATTTGAATAATAAAGAAGAATTAGATTCCCCTGATAACTTGGCTGAGGGCCAATAAATCACTGGAGGTTAAGAATGCTTTGCAACTGCCATGTATTTCTTTCGCTTTTACGAAGCACAAACTTCAACTACTATGCTCTACCTGTTTTTCAATGCAAATCAAGTTGAGGTTAGTAGATGGCTAAAGGATTGCTTTTGTGCTCTGTTTGCTTAAAAAATAGTATAAAGCAATCTTGACACGACACATTCATTCTCTAAGTTCTACCTTATTTTCCCCCATACCATTCTTTAAATAAAATAATAATAATAATAATAATAATATACAAAAAATCCAAGGGGAAAAAAAACCAAAAAAAACCCCCAACCAACAAAAGCCAGGAACTTCACAGGAAAACTACAGGTTTTTTAAGCAAATCTAGACAATAACCAATTGAGAAAAGAGCTTGCTTTTCTTTGTTGTTGTCATTGTTCTAGTGCTCTGAATTTAAATACTACTATATAGAATGATCATTTCTGCTTATTTAGTAAATGGGTGCACTAGCATTGATAATTTTTGAATAGTTTGACCCCTTTAAAAATTAGTAAATAAAAGCCTGGGAAATTCTGTGCTGGTCATGCGTTTTTTAAAGTTTTTTTCCTTAATGTTCAGCATAAGTTCATTTACTGTTATCTTTTATGCTAAAAAGAAGTGAGCAAGGGAGGAGC